AGGGAGGGAGGGAGAGAGAGAGGGAGAGAGAGAGGGAGAGAGAGAGAGAGAGCTCCAACGAGCGGAGAAATGCCGCTATCCTCGCGCGTGATTTAATTCTCTCGGGGGAATTTAATTGAGGAGCGGTGCTTCGGGGCGATACTCCGGCGACTCGAGAGGCGACCGCCCATAGCGGTTAGCCTCGTAATATGTTAGCCGCTTAACGTCATTCGCCGGCTATTTTTCACGGATGAAAGCCGCGGTTAGAATCGACGGCTACTAGAAAGTCAAGGTCGGCAGCGAGACAATAAATCGCCTCGTCGTCGATGAGATGTTATCATCGAATATTAACTACCATAGGATAATCTGATTTTTCCGGGGATCTGTTTCCGAAAAACGCGGATGAGCGAATTACGTTGATATTGAGTTCACTATAGTTTTATATCTCGATTAATATCGTGTTTTAATATGCGAAAAATGCATTCGGCGATTGAAATATGATATGGTATTTTTATATCGAATTTTTTTTTTTCGCAATTTGTTCGGACGATTTTAATTACATGTATGAAGTACATGCATGAAGTAATTAAAACGTATTTATTTGATATGTGTATGACGTTTTATAGAACATGTGTGGTATTCTGTAATTAACATTCAGACATCCGAAGATTGCATGTTAATTATCATGACGCGCGAATAAATATTGTAAAAATTTCCTAGTATCAGATATTGCATTTCCGACGAGTTTATTTCACTCCCAAATCCCAATTAAAAGTTCAGGTTGAGGTCTAACGAAGAGAAAGTAGTTTCATCGCAATTTTCGTACATTTATTATATTCGCCTCGCAGACTTGGTCACGCGCTGATTTAATTTGCCGCTGAGATTTAATTATGAGGTTGCGACGATAGGGCGACTTAACGTAGTCACGTCGTTTATCGTCGTGACATGTTACGCATTTAACACGTCTGCAGTTATTTATCGACTGCGCAACTTCGCCACCGCGCCAGTTTATCCTCAAAAAAATAAGCGAGAAATACATGTGTATGAGAAAATATTCAAAAGAAACGCGTAAAATTACTCTTTGGACGGGAAAGAAAATATTTTTCTATTTTACTAGCAAAAATTTGTTCGAGCAAACATATTAACACTGACAGATTCATTTCTCTTGCGATTTATGATCGCAGCCGCACATTGTTTTAAATTTCTTTCTTTTTTTTTTTTTTTTTAATCATTTAGAATCCTTTTTCTCGCCTACTTCAAGGATGATCGTAATTTTACCGATCTCTCTTGTTTCCCGTCAGTCTTAATTTTAAAAAGTTATTTCATTTTTGTGAAAATTATTTTTTATCAAAGACGACTGAGTAATTTTAAAACATCTTTAAAAAGAAACCGAAATATTTGACATTTTGACGTTGAGAAAAGAGTTAACAAACTTTTAGGATTAATTTTTACACATATTTCACAGCACTATTCAATAGATATTGTAATCCGAATAAAAACGCGAAATTCGAGTTCACTTTCTTCTCATCGATCTCAGGTAACATTATTAAAAGAGGCACGAGAGCGACTTTGATAAACGATATTTCCGCCTACTTTGAAAAATTGAAATAACTTTTCACGCGGCCTGAGGGGATACAACGTTCTCGTCGAATTTCCGCGCGCGCGCGTGCTCGTATATCTCGTCCTACATAACAGGTAGGTTACCGAAATGCGAAGGAGACTTCGCGTCCCAGAGACCCGCGTCAGAAAATAAAATCTACCTTTCGACGACGCATAATTCAGAAAACACTCCCGCTCTCGATACCCTTCGACCTTTTGCGGCCGTTTCAAAAAACGCCCTCCGAAAAAAGAAAGGAACATCTCCCGCGGATAATATCGCGGTGAGAAACCCTTCGCAATTGCGCGCAACGATCTGCATAATTTAATATCTCGGTTAACCTCTTTTCGTTACCGTCACGTGCGGTCGGTATACGAAATAATATCGATCCGTCTACGCGCGGAGGCTAACGATTTCACCGCTTTGGCTTGGAAGCGGAATTTTATTCGTAATGCGGCTTGGAATTCTCTTATTTAAATTCCGTCTCGATCGCTAATTATATTTTATACGCGACCGAGTTGCGATACCCTTTGCTCATTCTTGGCGATATTTCGCGAAAGAGAGCAAGCCCCGCGCATTTTTATGTAAATTTTACTCTCTCAGTTATATGACGGTCGTTATTTCGACTACAAGTGCAACACAATAGCGCGGGAGTGCGCGTAATGATTAATATCGCGTAAAACTTTCCTGAACAATTTACCGAGAAAATTATCGCTAGAATTTCCGAAGAGAAGTAAAATTGATGTCACGTTGAATAACAGTAAAAGTTTGCGAATTTGCATAACGAATAGATTAAAAACTAAAGTTAGTGCTTGCAATTTCAAAACAACTCACCGATGCGATCGAAAAGATCCGAATGCGATGGACACTTACCTGTAACAAAAACAAAAGAGGAGCATAATCAGCAAAGCAATTCGAAGTTTTTCGGAAAAAAAAAAACTGTAATATATCAACATATCGCGGTAACACCCGCGAAATGTTAAATAACAAAAATTAACTCCACAAGGAAGAAAAACAATTGCATTAGCACGGTAGACAGCAACATAATAAAGTGCTCGTTGTGTACGTCAGCTAAGAGCAATTCTCGAGCGATCGGTCAACCGGGCCATCCAACAGACCAAAGTTATGGTCACGTAGCGCCGAGATAGACGTAACGGAATCGAAAATGACCGATGGCCACGATTGCGTAAAATTTGAACTTGAATTTTACAACTATAAAAAATCTCTTTGTCGAGAATTAAAACTTGTTTTTCTTTTTTTTACGCTGCAATATTTACAACACGGTTTGTGTTTACAACGCGGATAAATGTGCACTTCTTTTCTTTGGTCTCTCGGATTGTTAAGTTCTCGGCAACGTTGGTAACGAACGAGACGAGAGAGTTACACGTCGCAATTGCATCCGCGGAGCAGTTCATGCCGGATTCATCTGCGCCGAGAAATGGCGTAACCTATTTTGGCGCGCGGTAATGGAATCATTTCCGACCCAATAAATTTCACTCCAGCAAACTGTGAACTCGTCTCTCAACGCCGCAGCTCTTCTCTCTCTCTCGCGCGCGTGCGCGCGCGAGCGTACATGCATAGGTACGCGCGTGCGGTCGGCGAAGAGCGTCTTCTCTTTGATGAGACGCCCGCGCAAGTAACGCGCGAACGTACTCAATGTAGTGCACCGACGAAAACGACAATCACTGTCTAACAATAAGAATCGTGAAAACTGCGCCCCGACCGCAATATCCTTCCAGTTGTGTCTTTATAACTCCGAGAATTTCGAGTATTATGAAAGAGAAAGAGAGAGAGAGAGAGAGAGAGAGAGAGAGAGAAAGAGATCATAAAACAAAACGACGGGAATAATCATTTTTATCTAACAATCGTCAGAAAGTGACTACATCATCGCGCAGGTTTTCGTATTTATTATTGTTAAATTAATATTTTCCACCTATTGTATTTTTCATTATCATATAAACGACAATATGTTTCTTCGAGCTAAGAACGAAATAACATTGTTTCAGCAGCTGCATCTGACATTTATTAAGCCTACGTCGTTGATAAAAGTACACTCTTGCGCATAAACGTTTGTTTTTATACGTTCCCGCGAATAGTTATCGTTATCATCGCGTCGTTGGGATCTCAATTCCGTAAAATGGCGTAAAACGTTCAACGACTTAATGGCCGTTCGACAGTTAAGATCCTTGCCGGGGAGAGAGTATTCCTTGCCGTCACAACGGACACACCGTTTTTTCCCTTTCCGCAGTGACAACGACGTCGTAACCTACGGCGTTGTTTCTTTCTCTTTCCTCTCAAGCGCATCTTTTCGGCTTATCGCGTCGGAAATACTCCGCGAGAAAGAATCTACAAAGCTCAGTTTTACGCGCCAACCTCCAATTTTCCGAATGCTCGCAATCAAGGGGAAAGACGATAAAGGACACTGTCGAAATGGATTGACAATGTCGTTGCGACATTTTGACGGATTTTTTTTGTTTTTGTTTTTTTTTTTTTACACCGAGGAAGTTTTACGCGAGAGAGATAATTCAACCAATCGTTTCGTAAGAACGTCGTAGAAACGAAATCACGATCAAAATTAGCGCCGACTTAATTATAATTAAGTTCGAAGATACGCACCAACTGCTAACGAACTTACGTAAGATTATACTATCGAGAGTGATTTACACTCGCACGTACACTCGCGCGGGCGGAGCGCCTGCACGAAACCAATAACTTGACGCGCAGGCGCCGCGAAATTACTCAGGACGGAAATCCGGCACTCCGAGCCGCGCTTTAAGACGCAATCCCGGGCTAACCCGCTCCCCGCATGATCCAAACCGAAATCTAGCGTGACGGTCTATCCCCGGACTAGACTTAGATACGGGATTTCGCGGCGCATAATCCGGAAAAGCTCCGTAGCTCATAACCCATGCTTTCTGGATCGGAACACGCGTCTCGCCTATCCGGAGGCAATTGCGCGCCTCTTCCGCACGACTACGGTCGCACCTAAACGCGCACGTCGCCGAAAAGACGCGTCGCGTCGACTCTAATAAGACTCATTACGAATACGAGAAACACGTCTCGCGCGCGACGGCATTACAACGAGAGAAATATGAAATTATGTTTGCGCGCACGGTACACGAACTCGCGCACAAGTACAAGCTTCGCTAACCGAATTAAAGGAATCCCTCTGAGTAACCGAGGAATTTAGAAATTTACACTTGTGTAATGCGCAACGATGTAATGAAACTTGAGACTGACGCGCGAGAGGCTTTTGATCGAGGAGAATCTCAATAAGGGTGAAAATTTTCGTTCCGTCGAATCATCAGAAATTAATGAGAGTATACGACAGTGCGCGTGACAGTTTCCGTTTTTTCTTTTTCACGTTCGCAACAAAATTATTTTGAAATAGAACGAGAGAGAAATGTCTCGTATTATTTTCAATCGACAACACAACAATTAACTTTCGCAGTTCGTTTTAAAGTAAGAATAGGTCAGCGAATTTCCGTCTGTGCATGTCGCATTTTCGATTTAATAGCGCGCGAATTTGAAATCGTCCTGTTTCGAAATTGGATTTCCGGCTTATCGAGCGTGAATCTCTGAAATTTGCGTGATTTAACGTAGCGAATCGACCGAGCTAAATGTTAAACAATTTATGCGGCGTGTCTTTCCGTACGACCGGTCAAATGTTTCACGGAATAGCGCAATTTCTTGAGAGATTAATTACGAAAGCGACGCGCGCGAATTTCTCGTTTGTATTTTCTCAAATGTCGTAGCATGTAGAGCATTTTCGTGTCGCGCGCGCGACAAACAGATGTTCGCGTGGACGATGTGTTTTGTCCGAGAAACAATTCGTTTATATCTGGCTCGCGCCACTGCTCGCGTCTGTCTTTGTGCGGCAAATTGAGCGAGAGACAGAGACAGAGACAGAGACAGAGATAGAGAGAGAGAGAGAGTTTGCAAATCAGCGAACGATCTCGTCAAAACCAGAGACCGTTCATTAAAACCAGTCGACGTTCAACGGCGCACTTACCACTCGATAGTCACAGCGCGGTTTCGGGGATAATCGAATGTTCGCGTGATCCAGGAGAGGAATAATCTACTGTAACGCGATCGCGTGTCCACTCACGACAACGACCTCAAGTGAGACGGTAATTAACAAATCTTAATTAAATAATCAGAAAGAACAAAGCCAATCTGATTGCGACGACGGTAACGGCGGTTGCGCGCAGATCGATTAAAACTGTTTAATCGATCTGCGTGCACTTGTTTGCAAAAGATATGACTTTATTGACGATTTTGTTTCGTATCAATGTTTGCACATAGCGCGGAAGACAGAATATTTGATGTGTCTCTTCAATGAGTGTTAGAACGTTTTGTTCTAATGGACGCTTTCTCCTATTGTTGATAACAATGATCGATCGTAACTTCGTCGCCGAGAAACCCCGGAGAACTTGCTCTACACGACAGCGAGCAAACGTCGGGAGTACTTGCTTGACCGCACTGCGACGCTCGTAGGAAATTACAAGAGCGTAGCCGTCAGTGGCTAACGCGATTACAGTCGTCCGCGTAAAGACGAATGTTCCTTTTACGTCGCAGACCTCGCCGCCACCTGGTCTTAAGTGCATCCGCGCGTTAACGTCCGAATGACTTTATCCCACAGAACAGAAGTATCACTCCGGAAGGATATTTCTCTCTCTCTCTCTCTCTCTCTCTCGCGATAATCGCGCTCTAACTTCCGCTACTGACGTCGTTTTGCGGTGCTGCTATCATCGCTCTCGCTCTCGTTATATTTTTTTCTCCTTCTCTCTGCTCAAAGTTCACTCACGCATATCTCGTCTTCGACATTTTCTTCTACATTTTTTGGCGATTTACTTGAAATCATCAGAATCGACTACTAATTTCTCGATTATTGCGATCAATCGCTCGTTAACGGAGTCCCTGCGTGAGAATAACAACGCCGATAAAAATAATCAATAAAAAAAATAAAATAAAATAAAAAAAAACAGCGGTTCGCGTTGCAAATCACAATCTCGTCTCGATGACCGCAACGTGACGGTACGTTTTCGAGTTGCGTCACTGATGTACACACCGGAGATTTTGCTGTCAACACTAAAATGCACGCCCACTTAAAAATTATTGTATTCAAACAAACTTTCCAACGAGAAAGTCACTTTTTAACAATAAACGCTTGAACTTTCGTTTTTTTAGACACAATTATGCGTCAGCGAATAAAAGATGTATTGCGCATCTCGAACTCACTCAATCGTATCCTTTCACCGCTCAACTTTCACTTGCGCGCGTCACACATCGAAAAAGATGATAATTTTAACGTCAATCACATATTTTCTCCTCTGTTTTTGTTATTTATCTCCTTGCTTTTGAAATTTTTATTATTTTTCTTCGAGCCATTATTAAATCTCTGAACTATCTCTGGTCTTTAATTATATGGTAAAAATTGCACAGGAAGAGCAAAGACTCTTAAAAGTCACGTAATTATTTTTCATTTCTTCGTCTGCGGAAAATTACGAGCGACGAAACTGACCGTCTCGACGGAGTCGCCGTCTTGGCGTCGAGGTTTTCGTGCAATGAGCGAAAACGCACATCCACACCCGCGCGTTTTCTCCTTTTATTCGAGCGCATTCCGTTTTTGGCTCGTAACGGCGACACGTGTAAACGCGAATTTAAAGACTCGGTACGCGACCGAATGCGAGACGTACGTGATAAAGCACAGAATTCAGACTCGCGTTCGGAAAACTTGATTCGGAAATTCGGTCAGCGACCAGAAATAAGGACACGAAGAACAAAATCTGCGGAACGGTCGACTGTTTTTTGCGGAACAAATATATCAGTACGTGAAACATGCCACGCGAAATGATCACATTTTTTTATTT